ATCATAAAAAAATATGATATATAAACAATTTCAAATTTTTTGGCCCCCCAGCCCCACCACATTACAAAGGGACGCTCCGCCCCTGTCCGCCAAAGGTGGCCCAGCTCGATTATAAATGCCTTCCACGAGAACTCATAAGAGGAAATCCATACTGTCATCACATTACTTGAATCTATTATATAAACAGTAATGGCTCTTGAACTATTCCTGTCCTTTATAATTTTTGCAGACAAGAACTGAAGTACTCCAAAACCTGTGAAATCTCTTCATTCCCTTTGAAATGCGTATGTACCCTTGACATAAGGCTTCATGAATTATTATGATTTGTGATAGTATTTGAAAAGGAATTTCCTTCCAAAGCAATATGTACCTATTGGCCATAGATTCCTAGCTTCTTACATCTCTCCGGTGTCTCACATATTTAGTAAGCATATTCCATTTTTTTTCTTGAAGGAATCATATTTTATGATACTCATTAAGACACGGTGGGTACATGGGCAATTAAGAAATTATAAAAGCTACTGAAAATAGATAGTTTTCATTACAATTCATGAAGTAAATTAGCCCAACCGCAAGAGGTACAAAAGGGAAAGGGGCTTTGGGTAAGAGAGGAGGGACAGCGGTTTTTCACATGTTGATTCGCATGTCTACGCAGTAATCTGGCGTTAGGATATGGTATAAAGGTAGGCCAAGCTTGGGACTTCACTGCAGCTTAAGGTACCTTATAAGCCTGCAAAAGTAAGCAAGAAAAAGGAAGGAAGCAATCTCAGCTTAAGAAATTAAGAAAAAAACAAAAAGGAAAAGGCAAAAAGATAATATAAAATTGTTCGGAGGACCTTTATCTCTCTTGACTGTGTATTGACCAAATTTTATTGTGTTTATTCTCCCAACTATGGTGCTTAATGGTAATATAAATTGTCGAGAGCTGCTCAGGTAGGAATTGTAAGAAGATTCTACAGATTCACACATTAAAAATATTTTTCTCATAAGGTTGTCTACCCTTCTTTGTTTTTTTGTTCCTTTTCCAAGAGAAGATGTGTTTCAAAATCAAGTTGGAGTTTGGGTTGAAGTTCATGTGCGCTTTCTGTTAAACAAGAGACAGGATAAGAAACCGAAGGTAATGCGAGGAGTGAGTTTGTGGAGTGTGGTAGGGCTTGGCGGGTCTAGAATTGGCCTTTTGGACAAACTGAATGGTCAAATGGACCACCTAAAGTTTGGAACTTGTGATCATCTGATATGGATCTTTTAACTTTTCTGAGGCCTTAAATTTGGCGCAATGTGGCAATTATCAACTGATTTATGTTTCGTTGAATTCGAACTTTTGTTTAGAGCCATAACATTATACAGGTCCCTTCAGATTTATTGATACCAACAAAAAAGCGGGTAATGCCGTGACCAGTCTGCAGGCTTCGGACAGATGTTTTGGGCCGCCAGCTACTTTTGCAACTTTGCAATCATAGATTGGTACGAATTGCACACTGATTGAAAGAAGTTCCCGACAAAGTCATGTAAATTGCATCTAAATTAACACTACATGCAAGATAAAAATAGAAGAGAAGGGAGGCCAAATTTTCATTTAGCATTACCTTTCTTCTTCATCTGCATTGCCAGTGGACCTGTAGTTAGGAATAGGAACGCGACCGGACTCGATGTGCTTAAGGTCTTCAATAAGGATTTCATAGTGTCTCTTCACTGCTTCAGCAGTTTTTCCGCCGACAGCCTTAGCAACATTGTGCCAACGATCTGGGGTGTCTTTATCGTACTGGGCCAAAGCCTTTTCGAACAGTTTGTTCTGCTTTGCTGTCCATGAACCTGAATCTCTGGACTCTAGAGAGCTTGACGCCATAACTACTATGCAAAGTTTAAAGCAAATTAAAATGGATTCAAGATTGTTTGTAAAAAGACTACTGCAGACTAGGAAAAGAAGAGTAAGAAGAGAAGAAAAGAGCAAAGACGATTTTAGTTGAGCAGTGGCTTGTGCTAAAGATTTCCATGAGCGCTCTACTTATAAGCAGTGGAGAAATGATGGTGGGGTGGAGCAAGTTGGCGAATCTATGTTGACAAAAGGCAGCATAAGTATGACCCGTCTCCTTTGGAACCACAAGATTGATCAGGACAATGTAAAGAAAGAGAGGGAATGGAATCAGTTTCAAAGGAAGGGTTCTAAAATTTTTATATTTTTTTCTCTAAATATAATTATGACTAAAAGCACTCTAGACTCTATAGATCATGGACGGGCTATCTTAATCAGCAGCTAGTATTTATAATTATAGGAACACAAGCCATGAGCCTTTCTTTCAACCAAGTGCATTAGCAGAGCAGGTGTCTGGCAATTGTTGAACCAAGCAAATTCTGTTACCAACTTCAGAAAAATATAACTTATTAGTGTTTTCAGTGAATTCACAAACTGGGTCTTTGGCTGTTTTAATCTTAATCTGGTAATAAGTCTGGACTCGGTTGAAGACAAATCTAATCTCTTAAACATCAAATGGGTTAAAATAGGACTTGGCAAGGAATGCAGAAGCTGTAGGACTACAGTACTTTTACCAGAAAACAACAAAACCCGATAAATAGATCTTTTATTAGAAGATTTTCACCCAGTGGACAGGCATGCAATTGTAACCTGTCTGCATAGCTTTAGGCTTTTTACTATTGGAGTGGTTATTTGTCGTTGTCCTGTTCTAACAATATTCACCATTCACGCCAGGAATAAAAGCATCCTCCGCTTCACTTGAACTTATCACATTGCCATTTCCTACCTTGTCATCTTCGGGTGTCATATGATACTTATCACGAATTCTTTTCTTCTGTGTCTTATTCGGCCCTCGATTAAATCTACAAAATCAAGTTGTATGTAACAGCAGTAATATAGTAATAAGGAAAAGTCTTAATTGTTGGAACCATTCAAGAGAAATGGATAACTCCTTCACATATCAGACTCAAAATATTGGCCTCAGACGGCAGTGAACTGATATTAAATCTATTGGACTCAGAAACATACTCCCAAGGGTAAGAGGGCAGCTGGGAGCAGTGTGGTTGATGCAGTTATGAGTCGTTTCAGATCGTTGGAATTGGAACTCCGAATGTTTTCCTTCAACAGTATTCCAAAAGCTTCTGGCTGGCTACCTGCTGAAAGCCTACTATAGATCATGTGTATACAGTATACATAGATGATAACAGTAGGGATTGTTTTTTTTGTTGCATGTATCAGTACAGTCAACAGGTGCTGCTGGTTTTCTCTTCGGATAAGGGGGTGGGTGGATTCTGTGTCAGTTGATTGATTTAGTGGGGTAAACTTTTTTTTTTCACCTTTGCTCAGTTAGTCAGTCTCTCTTGTTCTACGCTTTGTCCATTTCCCTTCCCTATCAAAAGCTGGTCATACGAGATCAATCAAAAGCTGGTCAGGAATCCAGTCAGGGAGCAAGCGAGTACTTTGGTAGGGAAAACCTGATGCCAGATTCCTAGAAAGCAATGCCGCTAAGAGCTAAATTACATGTTGTGCAAGTGTTTAGTTTAAGCTTAAAGACGAATTTAATGCTGACAAAAAATTCCAGGCTTGTAGGATTTTCTTTAATCATTGAAATTCTCAAATATCTCTACGTACGAATAATCCAAAAAAGCACTAAAAAATAAAGAGATGAAAGAGGAGAAATGGACAATGCGCATATGATCATTTTGATAGCTATGCCAAGAACATTTTGCCCGATCAATAATTTGTGAATAAAGTGATAGAATCTTTTGATCTTTTTTCTTCTTTTTTGGAGGTGAGCTAATTGACTGATGTGGATATTAAGCACAAATAGGCATTGAAATTTCTTCTTTAATTCTGACCATAAACGGATACAACATATGATTGTTGGGTCATCGTCTTGAGGACCATAGCACTGGTCCAGGCTAGTCATAACGCTCGTGATATGGAAAGTCATTTTTCATGGACACCCAATGTTTTTTTATTCTGTTTTATGCAATTATCTCCTCCTTTTCTATGTTTTGACTGAGTTTGCAAACCATTTTCCAACTATGGGAAGCTACATGTTACTGATTTTAAAGCCTTAAATGGCATAAAAATTTTAACCAAGACCAGAGTAAAGGCTTTCTACCTTATTTATCCTTTTTCCCTGTCATTCCTGCAGAACACAGTTCAAATATCCATTCAGTTGGCTAAACTGGTGATATATTTCCGTCCTTGTTACTAAGACTTCTAGGAATCCAAAAATGGTAGCCCCCATGCAACAAGTTGCCTTGGGTGCATGAACTGGGGGAAGGATGGTTGCTCTTTTGTAACTTGCCAATTTAATTATGGGTCGAAACGATTTGTGGTAGAAGAGAGGTAGTAAATGGTGGTCCTATGGATTTTACATTGATATTTTGGGGGTTATCAACATCTAAACATCAGCGTTCGAAAAGGGTACATTCTCTAGGGCCTATAGCCTATACCAATTGACCGTTTTTTGTTGCCGTTTGTGGTCCTTTCCTAGCAGGTTGGAACGAACCATGGAAAGGTTCTCTGGTTTGGGTTTTTAATTCCACTTAATTAGTTGTGAATGATAGTTTGTCTACGTAGCCTACTAGCCTGCCCTCTCTATCAGGAATCAAGCCCCAGAATCCAGACGGTTTTGGCAGCACCCAGCTCGTTTCATATCATTGCTGGGCCATGAAAGTTGAGATGGGGAACTGTGACTTTCCCAGAGCCCAAGAAGTCCACCACTGGCTCGTAGAGAGGGGGAATCTACGATTTTGGCAGGCAAGTAGACAACACTTGTCTGAGCTGTTGTTTGCTTTGAGGATAAGCAGATAAAACGTACGCGTCCTGTTTACCAACCAAAGGGAATCGCGAAAAAACCTTTTTCCATTTTGACAAAGTGACGGATATGATATTTACATGCCTGCGACAGCTTGTTTTAATCATTTGCAAGAAGAAAAAGTCGGGTAGCGAAGTGACCTGCAGCTGATAATGGATTTGTGGGCATGAGTCCATCCGATAAAAAAAGAGGAAGCATCAGAAATAAAGTGAAATATATATATATGAAATATGAAATTCTTTGCATATAAAAAATAGAAGCAGATTCTAACCTCACCAAAGCAGATTCCAGATAAGTGCTTCAAAAATGAAAACGTAAGTTGCAAACCTCCACATGCAGGAAGTTTGCCACAGGCTTTAGCAATTTGACATATATTTCTTATTTGTTATTTTCTTGATTTTCCTCTTTGAGTTGGTAACATGTTTGACACTGTAATTGATAGAAATTATAGTATACAAAGCAATTTTTTATGTGACTAACATACCCCTAAAACATATCCTTACACTCAAGTGCATACATCAGAAATTAAAAAAAAAAAAAAACATTTTGTATTCATTAGACATCTCAAAGGAATAAATATTACAAAATTTCAAGACACGGGTCTAACTTGACCTGGTATCAAAAAATCAGACTTGAGCAGTAGGTTTTTTGGTTTTCAATCCAAACAAATTCTCAAATAATTTTGGAGCCATGTCAGGAAGGATCATAGGCTCAGGAGCCATGAAATTGACAATCTTCTCATGGACATGATACCTACGAGAATGTTATTAAGGAGGAAATGTAGAACATTAGGAAATGCACTAGATTAGTATGAACTCATTACATTGGTGCCAATTCAATAAGATATGAAAACTGACCTGATCTTGCGACTCTTTGAGGCACGCCGATCAACTATTTTTCTCTTCTTAGTTTGCAGTCTTTTCAGGGCATAGAAGGCTGCCTCTGTGGTCAATCAATAATAAATTTTTTATTTCTTTTAAAAAAAGGACTCTTACCACACAACCTGCCTACAATTAATCATGCAAGAAAAATTTTACGAAATCATAGAGAATATTTACCAGATGACGTAGGGTCAACAGTCTCAAAAAATTCCTTCAACAGTTGCTGGTAAAATTCAGAATCATCCAGAAGTTCGGGATCACCTTCAGGTTGTGCTTCCTAAGCAAAGAAAGGATTCAAGATAAAAATTTTACAGGAGAAAAGGCAGCATTAATAACATGTATTAATTACAAAAGCAGCATTCCTATAGCACCTATACTAAATATTTAGATAGCAAAACCCTCTGTTTTATTTGGCTAAGCACTTATCACAACTTGACCATCAGTAACTTCTACCCCCATGATTTTCACCTAAACAAGACATTTCGATCCAATGAAGGTTTGTAAAGACTTGTAAAATAAACGGAAAAAAAAAATTAATAGAAACACCAGTTCATTTATTCAAGACTATAGTAAAATAAATATTACCACTCCATTAGCATTGTTAGTGCCCTCAGTAACCTGCACAATGAGATGGTAATCAATAAAACAGAAAAAAAAAAAATCATAGTACAGAGGGCGCACCAAAGCTGTGTCTACTGTTTTAGGTAATTTCAGCACCTTAAACTAGACATGTTTAGTAACTTACAGCCCCAAATATGCCAATGGTTGATCTTCTTTGTTGCATTTGCTTTATCATTCTACTTGGATCCCTCATATAGGCAGCAACTTGTTCACTAATGTTCTGGCATTGGAAGAGAAGAGCAAAGTGAGATTCAATTTACATCCTATAGGGCATGGATTCATTATCAGCTATAGGAGCAAACCGGATTAAAAGCTTGCAATTTGCTTTTGATTGCCGCAGCACCAGTTGTGACTTCTGTCTTTCTCTGCCATTTGTCAACTGCTTTATCTCTGAAAGCTGCTAGTCTACAAGATTCATGCATTGAGATTTCCAGTTAACTTACAATGCTCATATCAAGAACTATTATTTGCACAAGGAAAATTGTAGCAAGTGAGGATTAAATAAGATACAGAACATTTAGAGGAAAAAAAGGAAGCAGAAAGCACATGATTAAGCTCATCAAAACCATAAAAGCAATTTTGTGAATGTTCATTAATGCACTGATGCAAGCCTTCAGGCATCAACACACCATTCTCAATGCAGCATTTTTGAATCTAGCAATTTTGAGAGGAGTCCATAAAAACAGTC